GTCATGGTTGAGTACACATTGGGTTGAGTTACACATTGGGTCAATGTTGATGGTTGAAAGCACTAAACAGCGCCACCAATTGGTATTCCCTGAGTGATTATAGCTATTTATGACATATATAGTAAGGTGCCTTTGACAAACCATACAGATTGTGTGCATAATTTACGTCATTCTTTTCATAATGTAGAAGTTAGCTGTTAACCAGCAAAGGGCAGCTGTGTTGAACTAAAAGCTAACACATTTCGCTAAACTGTATCATAATTTATGTTAGCTTAGAGAATTGGAAATATTTAATTTCACTGTGCAAATACTATAGAATCTGGTGTATGCAATTACCATATTATACATTTTTTTTAATTTGATTTCTAATAAATTCTTTTTATTAATTTCCTATACCATGTATTTTTTTTCCTTAATTCCTTACAAAAAAAATCCCAGAATGTCATCAACATCCATACCATTTTCACTCAGAATCATCATTATCATCATCATAATCATAATAATAATCATCACCATTATCATTATAATCATCATTATCATCATCATAATCATTATAATAATAATCATCACCATTATCATCATCATTATAATCACCATATTCATCATTATAATCATCATTACCATCATCATTACCATAATCATTGTCATAATTATCATAATCATTATTATAGTTATCATATCATTATTATCATCATTATCATAATAATCTTCATACTTATCTCATCAACTTCATCATTATCATCATATTTAGCATTAGCATCATCATAGTCATCTGTTACATCATAACTATCATTCATAATCATGAATCATTTATAATGAGCAATCACATCATAGTAATCATCATCAATCATAACCCTCATAGTCACCTCAGTCATTGGCATCATATCATCAGCATAAATTCAATCTATTTCTCTGTCATCCTTTTATTAGTATCCATCAAGTTTCATCATCTGCAGTATCATTGTCAATTATTATTTTTCATCATCATTCATCATTACCCTTCATCTTCCAATCATCATTCATCATGCATCATCATCATCATCATCATCATCATCATCATTATTCAATCAAATAATGTTCAATCTGCTTCCATAATTTGATGGAAATTGCAGTTGATATCCATACATAGATATCAGAATTACTTTTTTACTTCTTTTTCTATCATCATCCTCATCATCATCATACATCAACATTGTTATCACCATCTTCCTCACATTATTTCCTAGAGAGACTTTTAAGCGAATTCCATTTTTATTATTTTTTACTTGTTTTTGAAACTGGGTAAACTCATTCAGTCAAAATGGTAGATGCCCAGTAATAAAAACACAGATAAAATTTTAAAATACAAAGATAAAAAGTTCTTACTATCAATCACTATTCTAAAATATTGCATTGAGCACCATCTATATCATTCGTATCCTTTTTACATCATCAGCATCATTTTTATCTTTATCAAATCATTGAATGATTATGGTGTATTGTATTTCTTGGCTGGACTGTGATAGAATCTTGATTGGATGTTTCATTGCTAATCTATGAATTCATTAACGTACAGTAGTTCGTTGCTTTTATTTAGTTATTAAGATTAACCACATGACATTTAAGCCAAAACTCATTGTATGAATATTAGGAAAATTCTTTATCATGATTGAATCAAATGGAGCGAGTGGAATGCGAGTTTATACCGTAAGTAAGTGTAAAGCATGTTTTGTCTTGTGACTAGTTGTCTTAAATTGTTTTGTCTGGAATGATAATACTTTTTTAGGGTGGCCAAATGTTACATGTGCTCTGCTCTTGTTTGATCATGCTTTCATTAATACTGATATTTATTTTATGTACAGATACAATTGTTATAGAAAACAACAAGCTGAAATACTGTACATCAGCATTATTAATTTTTCCCTTTATTTTGCCTTGTTTCTAAATAAGTATATAATAGGATACTGTAATAGTGTGTCAAATGCCTGTGATGTTCCCACTCAGCAGAAAGACTTAAAAAAAGTGATAGGTGTGTTTTTAATTACCAATCAGACTCGAGGAATGTTCCTTGAGATGAATAAACACTCCACAGTTATTTTTTTCAAAACATCCAATATTATCACATTATTGCAGCATTTAGTATATTCTACAAATTACATTACATTAGTATTACATTATTGCACATTGCAGTTTTGTTGAACATGTTACACATTAGAATGGTGTGAATATTTTTGCCATACATTATAGTGACAGAGGGTAATTAACTTGGTCAATAGGCTGATCTATATAGGATTGATGCACAGATGAAGTCTAAGACATTGACTGAGAGTGAGAGATGACTATGCTAGGGATAATAGTGTGTGAAATGCCTGTGATGTCCCAACTCTGCATAAAGACATTTTTTTCTGTGCCCGACAGGGGACCCTGTCCCTTTGCCAATCCCCTTTTTCTGCTGGTGCAACCACTCCCTAAGCCTCATTTTGAGACTTAGTTTACCATAATGCATCACATGTTTATTCCATCTTTAATTGACTACAGTTTGATGAGTATGTACTTAATAGCTAAATAATGCTGTCTCATGTACAGACTAAGCAATGTTTGGTTTACATAACTAGCATGAAAAAAAAAAAACTATCAATGATGTAGATGTGTTTTTAGCTCCGATGAGGATCAAGCCCTAGAAACACTTGGCTGATCGATTAATAGATCTTTTTTAGATCTACTGCCTCTGTTATACTGCCCTCATGAGGCTGATTGATTAATAGCTGATTGATCAATAGATTTTGTTTAGCTCGCCTCTATTATACTGTCCTCATCAGAGCTTTTGAGATTATGAGAACTTGTTTTTATCAGATTTGGACAATGCACCTTGAGTCAATCAAACACTGCACTTATTTTCAAACATCCAATATCACATTATTGTCTTACAAAACAGTGGAAAGCATTTAGTACTATACATTCTACCTAATTACATTATGTTCCATTAGTATCACACTATTGTACATTACTTTTTGTTATTCATATTCTAATGCATTACAGTGTTCTAAACATTTTTGCCACAATGTACATTACAGTGATAGACAATAATTAAGTATACGTACGTCATATTACTAGCATGAAAAGAGCAATGTCATGTTGGTATCATATTCAAGCATTATGGAATTATTAACTCATCAGTACATGTGTCAGTGGATAAAAAAGTGTTTTTATAAGCATTACAGTAAGTTTTATATAAATTCCCTCAGTTACATTCCATCGTAATGAAATGAGTAGGAATCATGCATCTTGTGTATATACTGTAGCCTACTGATTGGTTGTTGAGATCTCGCTTCAGAATTGTGACTGATTCATTGGATGTGATTGTAAATTTGTCTGTTTGGTTTTTTTCATCACTAGGTTTTAGTTTTACAGGTAACTCGACTACACAAATCTCAAGGTATCTGTTTACTGTAAATTTGTGTGGAAAGACTGTCGGCATAAATTACTGTATGGATTTTTAGCATACTGTACTGTAATAGAAATGTCTCGACATGGTAAATTCTGAAAACCATTAATTTGGTCTATGTTTAACTAGTAAGCAGTTATTTTCAGTGTAAAAGCGAAAAGCAAACATCACACATTTCTACTGTAAAAGAGTGATAAGGTCATTTGGAAATTGATGAGTTGAATAATGGAAGAATTTCAGTGAATCTTATTTTTTTCCAATTGTGAAAATGAATTGTTTTTATTATATTGTATACCAGTATGTTCCTATCATCTACAGTTCAGTATGAATCAATTCATTTATTTATTTATTCATTATTCATTCTCATGGTATATTTATTTTACAACTTCACAAACATACAAGTAAACAATAAAAATGGTTTAACAAGAATTACATATAACATTGTAGTTAAAACTAAATTGTGTTGTATTAACTAGCCAAAAAATACACATTAAAAATAACAGTAAGAGTTGTTTTGGTCCATATTTTATTTAAAATTTTGGTTGGATAAATCTGCACCACCTGCGAATTGATTTAGCGTCAAACTGTTTTTTGATACCCTCATTGTTGGACACTGGATCAAAAATACACATTGTAGAGGCACCCCCTGCAGAGTATGTCTTGCACTTTGTTCCAATATTAGAAATGATTCACATCATACGGTCTATACTTTCCTCCTAGTTTGAGAGAGACATTGATAGAATTCATTTCAATTTATTCCACTTTTCAGTACATGATATACATATGAAATTATTAGGCCCTATATATAGTAGGCCTAACAAAAATATCGTTACAAAGTAATAACAAAATGTAACATAATGAAATGTAAGCTAAAGACCATAAATTAACAAATGACAAAGCCAGAAAAAAGAATGCATATAGTAACACTAAATACTTTTGGAGAATGCTTGCAAAAGGATAAGAACAAACTATTACATGATTTACATAATTAATTTTAGGAGGAAAAACTTAAATTATGTATGATTTTTTTGACAATCCCAATAATAATCCCAATAAGTACTGTAGAAGGTAATTTTTACAGATTAACTTTTAAGGTGGGGTACTATTAGAACATGGGTTACAAATATTGTACTGTACTAGGTTTCAATCAGAAGTCAAGTCAAAGCCTTTTGGGTTTACTGGACCAGGAAAATGTTGGTACAACATAATTTAATCACATATCTTTAGTTTTTATTTCATATTCTGTAGTAGTATTTTCATTTTTTTCTGAATAAATTCAAATCAATTATTTTTTGCTTCCTGGTTTTGATTTCATCTTCAGTTGTGGACTTAAAAAATCCCTTCTGTTTATCTAAGAATCTTTGTAAACTTGTCAGATGTACAGTAATGTTTGTTATTCAAGGATTACTTTCTATGAGGAAGATAAACATGTACAGTACAGTAGTTCCATTAACAGGATACAGTAATATTCACTGATATATACAGTATAAATATATATTTGTATAAAATGTATTACATAAAAATTATCAGAGTTTAAAAGATGTCAAATAAAGTCTGATTTTTACTTTTTTTTAAGATTTTTATTCTAAAGTGGTAACAACAAGGTCACCATGAATACGTTAAAGGGATTTTGGAGAGGGTCATCCCGGCGTTCTTCGTCGAGTGCCACTCAAGACAACTCTTTGGGTTTGATGCATCTACGGAAGCTTTACGTTGAACTTTGCTGCTCCGTGCAACCTTTGACCCAGAAAGAACAGGAAGATAAACTTTATGTGATGTTACCACTGTTCTGCAAGGTACTAGAAAAATATTTATTTATATATGTATACTTTCAAACTTCTACATATTATAAGGCTTTGATGTATAGTTTGTTGCTTCTCACAATTCATGCACTGTATATAGTATGGAATGGTTATATGACACTGATAAGCCCCCCCCCCCCGTCCCAGGAAACAAGGTTTAAATAAGTCTTATCTACGAAAGTACAACCTTCTAACGATATACCCACTAATAAATCATAATACAAGAGAATCTTCTAAGCTCTGTCCAGACTCATTTTATGTAACAAATTTATGTGATGTGCCCATGTACCTACCTGTATGCGCATGATGAGGTCACATTATACCCAAATATGGGCTTATCACATTTTTTGTCACATTATTTAAATTTGATATTTAATGTGGACAGAGCTACTATAGGAACAATAAAATAAACTTGAACTATTTCTAGAAAGTTTTTTAAGAAATATAATTGTAACTTGATTAATTTCATCAATTTATACACTTTTAATGAAATGCACCAGTTTTCAGAGTACAGTAGTTCAGTTAAATACAAATAAAAAGTTAACATAACATACTGTATAATCAATAAAACTTTGTTGATTATAAAACACGAGTTTATTCTAGAAATTATATACAGTATTAATTTATCGATTGATTAATTGATTAAATCGTGATATATGTTTGTCTCCTCATGTACTACTATAGGTATAAAAAGTAATAATGATATACATTACAGCCTGTCTTTGATAACATTGCACAAAATTCATGTACAGTAATCTTGGCATATTATTGCAGGTGTTTGAAGCTAGCCCGGCAAGTGATATGAAGGATAAATTTGGGGATGTGCATCCTTTCACAGGTCATATATCAAGATTGTTTGTTACCGAAGTTCGACGAAGAGCGTCCAATCCATCTCCAGGTGTGTTTGTTGTTTTAGTTTAGTTTTTAGTATATCCAGTAGTTCATTATTAATGACATCATTGTCATAATAATCATTACAGTTATATAATCATCAGTGTTATCATCAATGTCATTATTTTCATCACCATTGTCATCATTCTTGTCATCATTATCATGATCATTAGCATTTTCAACATTATTATCATCAAAATCAGCAGCAAGAGCAGTAGCATCACTGTAATTATCATCATAATCATCATCATCATCATCATCAATGTTATCATCATTATCATTATCAACAATGTCACTGTCATTATTATCATCATGTACATCATCATCAATATAAATAAGTTGACTATGCTCTATGTTTGTCTTAACCGTAATGAGGCTTTTTCTATGAATGGAATGACCTGTTCGAGGCACAAACTCCTTTAGACCAAACCCAGTACCGTTACGATTTTTAATCGTGCAGGAAATTCACTCATGATGCATAGTGGTTAAGAGCCTTCTACTGTAATCCCAGGGTCCTGGGTTCAAATCCTGTCACAGCAGGACTTTTTCTCAAGATTTAAAACAACTCCACTCCCTAAGTCTCATCAAGAGACTTCACTGATAAAAGCATTCATTTATTTAAGAGGGCTCCTGAATGTCAGCCGACCTTCTAGGATACGCTGGAAGGGTCATCCTCTATAAATATGGTTAAGGAAAAAAAATAAATGAATAAAAATGTGAAAATTTATTGATTAATCACCAACATCATATTCATTATATCATCATCAACATCTTTAATGATTGTTGCTTTCATAATTCTATCGCTGTAATATATTATTATCTATGTTACTATAAATTCATAATTATGTTGCCATCCTTATAATCATGAATGCGATGCTCCACATTGCAATCTAATCAATTTTCCAATTTATAAATTCTTGTTCTTTTTTTTTTTATTACATTCCTTCGTCTGAGGGATAGTAGAATAAATCATAGATGAACAGCTCTGACATACTTAAACGACAAATGCTAAATTTATAAACATTCTAATAAAGCTATTGCACGCCATTAGAATGTGGCATGTATTTTTAGGGATTATAAGTCATTTTATTGACATGTTTAAATTAGATATTTTCATTACATCCTGTAGAATGTAAAAGAATGCATAAATTGGGAATAGCCTCAGAAAAGGTTGTATTGCAGTGGATATTTGATGAGGAACCACCCTTCCTCCCCCTAGAAAGAAATCATATTCAAAGCTCTGTCCAGACTATCAAATCTTTTTTGACAAAAACTGTTGTCATGCCCATATATAGTCATACTGTGCCTATATATGGTCATATGTGATGTCATCATAACCATATTTAGGCATGTCACATGTTTTTATCAAATAAAATTTGATAGTCTGGACAGGCCGTTAAGATTTAGAGCTTTGTTCCAAATATCAACCACAATGACTAAGCACATTTTCTCTGTTTTTTTAAATTTTTTTTTTTATTTCTAGTACTTTAATAAATGTTTGATTGTACTAAAGGGCAATTCAGTGTTTTTCTTAAATTTTCTAGTTTTTTTACAAATTAGAGACAATATGTTTTTAATTAAAAATGTCTTTTTACGTTGCACAATTTTATATTTTTTAGTATAAAATTCAGATTTTTTTTTTATAAATGATCCAAATTAAAATGATATTCTGAAAATGTAATCTTAAGAGAATTTATGTAATTCTCTTTATACTTTCTCTAGTGAAGGAAATTCATAATATGGCTTTGGGATGATTTGTGAGGAATTTCAGATTAGTACTATAAATCAAACTGAAAAAGGATTTTTCAGGCCTCCAAAGCACCAACCCAGATTATAAATGTTTTAGTTTAATTAATCAGCTTACTGTCCGTATATATTTTGGGATCTAGGATGATTGAGTTAAGATGTTTTTATCTTCCTCCAAATCTAGGAAATATTAGTACAATTCCAGTATGCGTACAGTATTAGTAGTTCGTAGCAGTTTTTAAGAAAGTATAAAATAGTTTCTTACTAGTTTCTAACTTCGAAAAATTAATAAATTTAGATTTGTCATGATATTATTCAAATGACAAATGGCAGTAAAGAATATGAATTCATGATTAATTGATCAATTGATTGATCATCGGTCAATCATCGATTGACCTTCAATCAATTGATTAATAATATAATCTTTACTTTCATATGCCTTTTCAATAATATTGTCATGGTGACAATTGATTGGTAATCGATTGATTGTTGATTGATTGATTGATTGATTGATTGATTGATTGATTGATAACAGATAAAACCAGTAACCAGGCAACTACATATCTTGGAAGCTTCTTGCATCAGATGCTATTTAAATTTCATTAAAACATTTTCTAAATATAAAAATATTTGAACCTTAAAAATATTATTAACCTTGCAGAGAAAGCGAGTCGAGATATTGCAGAATATATTGAAATACAAGGTAATGGAATGGAAGACAGGAGCCGTGGATGGATGCTTCTAAGAACTCTGACACTACTGAGCTCTGGGGGTCAGAGTATCGTTGACGTGATGACCACCTGCTCCCTGCCATCTACTCTCGTCAAGTGTCTTTATTTATTTTTTGACCTGCCTCCTATTGAGCATGATCAAGGATCAGTGGACCAGCGCGACGGACAGAGGAATGATTTTTCACCATATGAGAGGAGAGTCCTTCTTCAAAAGGTGTTCTTGCAGGTAAGATTTCCCACCTCTCACATTGTATTCATAGAACGAGTTCAATCCAAATTTATGTATTTTATAATATAATATGTATAATTATAACAACGTTAATGTCCCTATTCATCTCATACAACTTCACACTTGAAGGGGCACGTTTGATATGGTCTTCCTTTATAAATTTTTTAACTCGCTTTTTACTTGCCCTCTTTTATCTTTACAGTATTTATGTTAAAAATACATAGACCCAATTCACGTAAAAACGGTTTTATTCACAGACTCTCCTATAACTATAATACCATTACACTTTACGATACCACTGTTGACATATTTTTTAACTGTATTTCCATGTTTAAATTGAAAGGTGCTAATTCAGCATAGGCTTTCTTTAGTTAAGCTAGGGACTCTTTATTGTCGATTTGCTTCCTTTGTATGTTATTGTTTGTATTTTACTATATTTTATATATTGTATGTTTAAGACATCCTGTAATTGGCGATTCCGCTGTTGGATGTAATTAAAATAAAATTTTTAAAAATGAAATAAAATAAACTGTAGTCATAGTTTGAGATAAAACCCAACAGGTCCTAGTTCACATTCATAAGCAACAAAGTTCAACTACAACTAATTCAAGTTCTAGTGGTAATCCAGCTGAAGATAACGGCAAGCTACGGCTATCAAACTAAACCAATGGCATGAGAATTTTAAAACAGAAAATTGGTAGAGATACTACAATTTTAGTTGAGGTATACATGATTAGTTGTACATTTTAGGTCAAACTAATCCTTTAGAATACCAGATTCTGTTTATTATCAATTATATATATTGATTTTTTGTACGTTTGCTTAGCCATCACAATTTTTGTCTCATTATTTTTCATGCATGTTTGTCTATAAGCCAATCATAACTCTTGTTACATCGTCAGTGATAAGCAAATCATATTCTTATAACAGCCATCCAATTATTTCAACATTGGTCCAATCTTATTGTGTCACATTTACTTGTTTTTGTTCATTTTTCATTCATTAATTTAATGACTTATTCATGTTTCCATTTATGCAGTTTCAATCTCAAAATCAATTCAGTATTTTTAGCTCTTCTCTTTACATATCCTCTATCCATTAAATCCTAAACTCTCATTATTTTTGATAATAATAAATACCCTTTTTTTTTTGGTGTAGATTTGAATTTTCGATTTGTGGCTATTGGTAGATTAATCCTTCCAATCTTGAGCTCAATATAATAAATCATTTCTTGTAATCATTGAAATAATTGAAATTTCTCTTGTGAATATCCATCTTCAAACTTCATCTCAGTAAGATGCTAGACTAGAGCACTTACAGACTGAACTATACAGCTAATACAAGTATGGCGCAATATTACTGTTCAGTCTATAAATTGGTTAATTTGAATAGCTTCAAGGAATAACTCGAAATGGTCCATAAATCTTTGAATTTTAATAGAGCAAAGTTGCAAACTGAAACAAATCAGAGCGGTAAGGTGATAGAAATTTGCCTGTGTATTCAACTTTGGAGCAGCTTAATCATGAAATCTAAACCTGTTTTTATAGTACTGTATTCGTATCTGTGAAATTGATTGTTGCTATATTTTACTGGTTTGGTTGAATAAATGTTGTGAAAATACAGTAAAATCGAAAAACTGCCATGCAGAAATTGTTGATCTATAGTTTGCTGAGGCGGATGCAGGATTTGGCGGTAGGGATGATACACCCACAGGGTGATACACCCACATGTGTGGTGCTGAGGTGAAAACATTTTAAGAATAATATGGACCTCAAGATGCCCGTAAATTGCAATCTCATACTTTAAAAATCTTACCAGTACTATGTTCATAATGATAAACATAATATAATTTTTTGCGAAATTCATCTATTTTTTGTGCAAATATTAATTGAAACAGTATAAACTCATCCAAAGAGATGATGGTTTCACTGCTGTCTACGCGTATGCTTGTTTGTTAGCAAGATTATGCAAAAACTAATGAAATTGATCATCATGAAATTTAGTAGAGGTGCTTATGGGTCTAAGAAAAAGATATTGAATGTCTGGAGTGAAAAATTTGAATGTCAAGGTCATGGAAAGTCAACTTTTTAATTTTTTCCTTTATTATTCAGTATTGAGGGCAGAACGGAGGCATGCACGCAATCGAGTGACAGGCTTTGTATTTTTGTTGCATTATACTGCATGGTACTAATATGCAACTTAACATCTGCATTTATTTCAACTCAGTTTTGTAATTCAGATTTAGTTCTATATTACTGTTTTATGTAAACATTTTTATTGAATAAAGATATCGAGATATAGTTCTGAATTAATGAATTAACTGAATAAGAGTATCAGAATACAAAGATGATTAAAATGGTATTGACACTAAAAAAAATTTATCAGAAAATACACCTTTTAGAGTACAGTATAAAAGAAAGTGAAACGACTATTATGTAGGAAGACCAAAGGAATACATGGATAACTCAAATAAAAGAAAGCAGAACATTTGCGGTTTCAAGAACAAATGCTGCCACCATCCTGTTTCTGAGAAAAAGGAATGGCTCAAAATATTGGGAAAATATTCCAGAAGGTCGACCGATATTCAGGGGCCCTATTAAATATGTGAAATAATATAAGTTCTATAAAGCTCTACTATGATGCTTAGTGAGATAGATGGATTTATGATGACCTACGAAAGTCTGAAGACAACAAATTTCCAGTGGGTCCTTCTGGTGGTGATTGGGCAGTACACCGGTAGACATCCCCTACTCTTTTCTGAATAGTTTGCTACATTTTTTAACCAGCACGCAGGCCATAATGCACACGGGACCAATGGCTTAAACCTCTCATCTGAAAAACGGTGTGCTTTTGTAAACTTGAATTTCAACCCTCCAGCTCAAACACAAGGAGAGCAGTGATGTGAATTGAACCGGGGACCTAGAGATCTCCACGGTTCAGCACACACACAGTGGCTACTACCAGTTTAGCTGACTGAGCTAAGCTGCTCTCTATTTTTTTTTCATCATTGAAAAAAATATTCGAATGTCATAAGATTTGAATATATGACCTTGAGATTATAGTTTAGTATTTTTAATGATATTACAACCATTGCAAATGGTAGTTATATATGCATCATTGCTTTTTTTGTTGATTATTTGATCTTTTGCCAGTAAATTTTATTTTCATTCTCGATAATCTCTACGTCTAGTATCATTTTTAAAAATTTATCGAAAAGGATAGAAACTGCAACCGTAGGCAGAGTGAAATTAAGATCACCAAATCGGCAAAGCATGTATTAACATGCATAATTTTCATAACCTTTGACTTTATATACTGTACTAATATCAAGCTCAATTTCCTTACTATAAGGATTAAAAATGTTATAACAAATTATTTAGGTTCTGAAACACATCCACCCTGCCTTGGGATGTCTCTAGTTTCTCCCTGCTTTTTTCAAAAACACATTGATAGTACTGTAATAATAATAATATGTAATAATAATATAATTAACTAGAAATTGCAAATTGCAAGTGAAAGTGCTGCGAAGTACAACTGCATAAAATGTTCTTCGAACAAAATTATTTATGCGAGTCAAGTGAAAATAATGAATAATAAAAGTATAACAAATAATATAAGCACGACTCATTGTCTATATTAGAACAGCGTTGGTACCGTGTACAATAGTGTTTTACTGCAGTGACATCTCTCTGCTTGCGACTCGCTGCTGCTGGCGATGACTCGCTGCTGGCGAATCGATCTGCGGATAACACCGACATTTTCTAAAATGAGATTCCATGACAAAAATCAATTGAAGGCACCACATGAATAATGAGCTGTGTACAACTGCTGCCAAGTTCTGCTATTACTGTAGCTGTCTTGTCAGAGCACCTGGTGTCTTTTTTTGGTGATGTGTGGTCCAAATTTCATTTATTTGTCTCCAAAATATTAAATTTTACACAAATGGCAAAGAACAAGCATGTGAACACAGAAAAAAAAAACTAAATCACTGTCGAATGCAGGCCCTTCCACAAAAAGACAAATGCATACAATATAAAATTTTTATTGCAGACAAAACATTTTATAATATATACATATTTCAAGATGTGTAGAGGGTTTACCCTGGTGTACTCGTCCAAACAGCCCCCCCTAGGAGACAAACAACATTTAGTTTGCACTGCTTTAACAGGTAAATCAGTCACAAAGCCTGGTTCACGTCGAACTTTATCTAGATATACCCGTCTTGAAACATGATACGATAATCCCCTAATTGCGTTCGATGCCAAGTTAGAACCAGATAAACAGCCAGCCAGTTTCAGGCCGTCGACGTCACACGGTCGAAAGGCTTGTTTAATAAAACATTTACTGTATTTTATGAACCTCTAGTACCAAGTGGTATTCGTTCAAAAAAAATTGTAAACTACAGTAGAGAAGGTGTGAGTTTCCACTACCTAACCTAGCCGACCAGTATGAACCAACGACCAGTGCAGCAGCGTGTTCTATCGCAATCTAAGTGGTAGATTCTCTAGGCCCTGGCCCTAGCTACATTTACCTTTGATAAAAAATGAATTATTTTAATCGCTAGCTAGCATTCTTCCATTTAACAAAATATTGTTTTAATTTTCATTAAAACGTTTGTATACTTTATGGACCTTTCTGTCCTGTTTTGTAGTTTTTATATCGCTCTATTTTGCGGTGTCAAATAAGTTGCTGACTTCCACACACTTTTTTATTTCGTCATCGTAAACATGTGCGCTCATTTTAACGACTGGCGTTGGTGGTAGTTCGTTGAAATTGAATTAATAGCGACTATTATAGCAGAAATAGAAAATATTGAATTGTCAATAAATAAATACAACAAATCTGATTTTATTATTAAGAAAAATATACATTATCACTTTGAAAAACGTACGCAATCGGACTTTTTAACGTTATTACTTGGTCGATGATGCAAAGGTCATTGGTAATATCGACTATTCGATATAGTCGTTTGCTGGGTGTTTACCCAAAATATTACAAATAATTTCTGAAAACCAGACTAATGAGACTACTTCGATGCTGTTGTTAGCATTGTTGAAGTACGTTGTTGTTAGCCAGAAGATGATAATGGTGGTACAATACAACAAAGCTGGCTTAGATGCCTATGTTACGTAATCGTGTCCTTGTAATCCGAGCCGACTAGTCACTTAACTTAAGTGACTTAATTCCTTTAACTAGCTATAATTGAGTGGTTCACGTCGAACTTTTAACTAGTTAAGTGGATGTATATCTAGATAAAAGTTCGACGTGAACCAAGCTAAATTTACCTTTAGGGAAGAAGGATGTTACTATAGACGCTAATTGAGACAGTCTATAGGTTTATACAAATTTAAACTCCCTTGCATTACATACAGTATAGTTCATCATGTTTTGTAATGTAATGGTGATGGTTTCTACTTTAGATGAATTCTGTATTCATATTATTTGATATGCTTTAAAATTATGGGAATATAGATATATAGAATAATGTTCCCAAGGTTTTTCTCCTATAGGATATGTCATGATTTCCTTTATGTAAAAATAATCCTTTCCTCTTATAGTTATTGACTCGTCTGTGTAACCACCAATCACCAGCGGACGAGCTAGTTCGGCGTGACGATCTAACGCTACTATTCAGCGCCATCACAAGCTGTTGTCCCCCTCACAATCTGCCATGGAGGAAAGGGGCTGCGGAAGTGCTGATCACAATTTCACGGATGGGCCTTGATCAAAATGTTGTACAATATATTCATAGTAAGTTTACAGTGTGATAAACATGGATAATGTCATGATAATGAAATCATGCCTATTTCATCTCTTTATGTAACTCCCACAATACTCAATTCTTTCCTTTCCCAGGTGGCAATTCTATCCTCATTCTTAACTTATCACAGCTAATTAATAACCAACGCCCTTCTTCTTGTATCCTCAATAATCTCCTCTTAAGATATTAATTAAAGCCTTAAAATTTGACATCCTTATACATTTTGTTGAAAGTGCTTTGTAAATATGAATTTGTTTTATTATTATTATTCGGTTATTATATTTTATTGTTAGTAAATTAAAGTAGATAATAGGACCTGATGGCTCATGAAGCAGTCAAACTCTTGAATCCATTCTAATTCTAACAGACCTGTGGTGGGGTCATTCAACTCTAGTTGCATTTATGGTGGTGAAATTTATTTATTTTCAGCGTTTTTTAGAGTACAAATCTTACTGTTTTCTGTGATTGTCATCAATTTGCCTATTTTCCTGGTGGAACTAATCAGTGTTCCTCAATAATATTTTGACGTGATTAATCATTTGCGATGATACAGTATATATTATTTATTGGCTAACTAGGTACTGAATTTATTTATATGAGTATAAATCCTATTAGTAATTATGAATAGAGAATATTTCTCTGTATTCAAACAGGATCTGAAATTATCAGTCCATTATTAAGAAGAAATATTTCACTAATTAACCCAAAGCCTGTTTGTTGTTATTAAATTAATTGCTTGGTAGTTAATCAGTTTTGTCATTTCTTTGTAGATAAAGGCTGCCTGGCATTATGTATTGAGAACATCAAACGACCACAGGAGCTGAGTCCACTAGACATGGTGGAAATGTGTTTCACCGTCTTCCATTTCCTTAAGGATTCCAGTGATGTTTCCCATATCCTGTTGGATGACTTCAGGACATGCCAGGGATATATCTTCCTTGCGGACTTTGTACTTAGGTTAGTTTTTTATGATGGATCTTGGGTCATGGAATACTCTTCCTGTTTCTTAAAATATACTTTCTCAGAAATTGTAAAAATGTTAAATCATTTAAGCTGAACCTGTAACAGTTTCCTTTTCAATAGTTTGATATATTAAAATTTATAATTTTAATGTATTTTAATCAAATATGTTTTATTTATTTATTTATTTTTATTTATTGAGTTTATCACAGCACTGAGTACATAAGTATTTAAAAAGAAAACAAGTCATAAAATGCAGTGAAAAGGAAGGGATGAACAGGTGTGAAGCACCTCTATCTTCATCCCCTCTTGAACAAAATTAACCTCACATACAGTAGTACAGAACAGAGAAGTGGAAAAATGCACATAATAAGATACAAAAAAAAAAATACATAAAAAAGTATATGTAAAAAAAAAAGAGATAACACATTGAACATTATAGAGTATAAATTTTTAAATTATTACAAGACAATTATTGAATTATTATTAATTTAATTAAACTAAAACATACAATAACATTAAAAATAGATATAAAACATGGGATATTATACAAAAAGATTAGTTATTAATTAATTATTTGTTTATTTATCTTAACTATTATAGAAAAATATGACATACTGTATGATATTGCAGGTAGAATTATACATATAAAATATATAATATAAAAATGTTATTAAATTATTATTAATTTATTTTAACTATAATATATAAATAACATCGGAATTGCACAGCAAAATAGATAAAAAACACTTAATATTATTAAGATAGAGAATTATATAAATTATAATATACTGTATATATAGATAACATAAAAATTGCACAGTATAATAATAAATAAAAACTTGTGTAGCTAGAAGGATAGAGAAAAATGTCCCGAAGACTCGAGAAAATAGTCCTGAAGACTCGAGAAAATAGTCCTGAAGACTTGTGAAGCTAGATGGCTTGGAGAAAATAAAGGTTCCAAAAATGAATATATTTTCTAAACATAAATTAACTATATTAAAATTTTTACTTAAATTTTTTCTCCCAGACTTGAGAAAATGGAATCACAAGAAGCTAGTGAAGCTCTGCGCAATTTAATTTTTCTCATCTCATCTTTGAGCATGTGTGGATTCAATGAACTTCGACCTAATAGCTCCATCCAGGATGCCCCATTTCAGCAACATGGTTTTACTGTCCCCACTCCAATAGGCAATGGTGTCAGTGTACGAAATCTACAATCATTTCAAGTTCTTCAAACTGTCTTCCTCAAAGTAAGTAGAAACTTACTACCATTATTTTTATCACCAACTATTGTTACTATCAACTTCTTCATTGTTATTCGTTGCTGTTGCCAGCGTGGTTCATTTTTACTACATACATTTTTATCATCTCCTTTTTCATCATCATCTGCCTTGACCATTTTCCTCATCACATCTTTCCTCGGCACTATATTCATTTCCATTTATTTTGTCACTGTTTTTTATAGTAACTATTTTTTCTGCATCATTAAGCACATTGTCATTTTCATCGTAATATTTTTCTCCTCTGATACAAGTTACAAGTCAACTTAATCGTAAAAAAAGAATTCCTTTGAAATATATCATGCCTCAAAGAATCAAATACAATTGTGCTAAGTGAAATATATGCTAAAGTTAAGAATACAAACTGATGAGCTGTCTGCATGCTGATAAGTGACTTACTAAGTATGTAGTGGAATACCTGCAATTGTTCGTTTAAGGTTTCTTAACAGGTCTGACACTGATTTATTTATTGATATAAATATCATAGGAGTGATGTCTTGCCCCTCCTGATGTATTATTTTATGTTCCCAAATACTAGCGAAAAATTTGGCAAGTGATTCAGATGGGAATCGAACCCATGAGCCCCAGATAACTAGCCTGGTGCCATAACCACTAGACTACTGTGCTTATGCTGAGTGACTAGTGTTGAATCAGATATAAATATCATTGGGTTGAATTTTGCATAATTTAAATTTTTACTATCTACTGAATTTATTTTTTTTTCAAATATTTACTCTAATGTTTACAATTCTAGGCTGAAACAACTTTTCTATGTACGACCATCTTAGACGTAGTATCGTCCATCTACAACTCAGACCCTGCCAACTACTTCATTCTGGAGCCTCAACACACGTTATCGCAGTTCATAGACCGCATGTACTTAAAGTCCGACCAAGTACAGGAGAAGATCTTTGAACTGCTGGAGTTTGTTGTTTTCAATTTGAACTTTGTGCCCTGTAAAGAGCTAATTAGTGTCAGCTTGTTAATGAAGGGAGAGCAGTAAGTTTGTCATGTTATAAAAATGAAAATGATAATAAAACTAATTATGTTGTGTCCATTGACAGGGCACTTTCTCCACATCTTCCTTACATGGTTAAACCAACTATTGTTTCCTTAACTAGAACACCCCTATAGAATAATAGTATTTATCTATCCAAAATGTGCTAGTATTCATGATAATTACCACATTCTCATCCTTATTCTCTTTTCACCGTCACTTAAAACTAACTAGAGCACAGGTGGGCAAAGTGCGGCTCTATAGCGATTTTTTTGCAGCCCACGAAAATTAATTAAAAACTTCATGTGTGCGGCCTGCCAAGCAACGTTGGCTAGAAAACGCTGGGTTTTTGACGGCCCAACATCGATCATAAGTAAAAAGTAACATTAAAACTGAGAATAAAGTGGTGTAAAAGCAATGCTTGGAGGTTCTTGGAAGTATACTGGAAACATCAGAGTTTGGTTGCGGCCCTCAGAATTAAATAAAAAATTTACTTCCACCCTCTGACCAATTTTTATGCCCAATCCTGAACTACAGTAATTCACCTTCAGATAACAATGTTTTACAAGATATATAAAAAGCATTATAGATACGTTTTTCTTTTATCTCATTCCATTTTATTTCTTTCTTTGAGAAGAAAGTATTTGTTTCAGTGAGAATTCCTTTTTAATGTTTACATGATCATATGACTTCCTTTATAGATCAATAGACTGTAGTATAATAGCAACACGGTACCTGCTAAAGATACTGAGACATAGTGCAATATATCAAGATGTTTATAGAGAAGTAGGTCTTCTAGAGGTGATGGTGACCTGCTTACGACGCTATGCTACCAAGTTGAAAGATAACCAAAATGAGAATAATCAAGAAATGAGTAAGTTTCAGTCTGTCATTCTAAAAATTATTCATATCAATCACTGTTATGGATATATATAATATATTTCGTCCCATGGTCTCCATGAAAAAGCAGACTCAAAAGACCCTTCCTTTTGCGCCTTAGTATTTTATGTCATCTCAGGGTTGCACTGTGAATGTTCGCATTTCCTCATTTGCATCTTGTTTTTGCATGAAATTATGGTATAAAATGTCAAAATTAACCACTATCATAGCGACCTAGGTGACGCAAGTTTGGCTCACATTCAGATGTGAAGATGAGTTGGCCCAGGTCTTGCATAGCGGGGCCTTAAAGTCGGACTAAATTTAGGTAAGCTTTGGGCCGGCTTAACAGTTTTTGATTGTTCACACTTAAAAACTTCACAAATACCTCAACAGCCCTGAGTTGACGCAACTATTAAATGTGATTGGGCTCATAGACCGTGTGCATGTTAATGAACATTCTTCATGATTGATATTCAGTAGTTCACAATCTTTGTCTTTTGTTTTTATTTTCAGGTTCTGTTCCCAAAATAGAAATTCCAGAAAAACAAGAGATGCTTGCCTTTCTAATGATGGAAGCGCTTACACTGCTACTCAACAACAATCCTAAAAATGCCAGTGAGATTTTTTTTATCATCTTGTGCATCTCAATCACTCTCATCATTAATATTATTAAACACAATGAAGCAACATTAAATGTTGAGTTCGAACCTGAATGGGCTCACAGACCAGAGTGCCCATCTCTCTTATGGCATTACTCTATTATTATCCTCTTCATCATAGACAACTTACATCACCTTTAATTTGCTTGTTGTTTCAGGTGTGTTTGGTGAGTGTGGAGGTGCCAGATGTGTGCACAACCTGGTTCCATATCTCCAGTGTCGTTCACAAGCCCTGGCAGTAGTACAGCAGTTAATCTTAGGCAGCAATGGTGATGATGATATGGGAACACTTCTAGCATTAATGCATTCTGCTCCTGTTACAGAACTCACACTAAAAGCGGACATTTTGCAAGTAGGTGGTTGGTTGATTGACAGATAAGGAATTAATTGAATAATGATAACAATGGTTGAATGATTGAATCTTTCAAAAGAAAATTGTTCAATTGTGAGGCCCATTGAAACCAGAAAACAGTCTCACTCACTTGACATCTGACCTTTATCATGTCATTCTAAATCAGTTCATGCATTTGTGGTATGCAAATAAGTAATTTCTATTGTTGGTATATGATAGTTGAATGTCTGCTGGTTATTCAGGTTGCTAAGATACTCATCTTAATTTTCCTAGGAATCCAATTTCTTGGTTCATTCATGAACCAAGAAAAAAAGGTCAAATGTTATTTCAGATTTGATTGATTATGTGGCTATTTATTGATTGATACTGGCATTGTTAATACTGATATTTGTTTCTTTTTATCTCTTTCCAGTCAATCTTGTATGTCCTTCGGGAGAGCCATAAAGCTAGATTAGCATTTCGTAAAGTTGGTGGTTTTGTGTATGTCATGTCTGTGTTAGTTGCCATGGAGAGTTGCCTAGCAGATAACCCATCATCACCATGGAGTTCAGGTAAACATAACTGTCCTTAAGTATCTTTTAATTATAAAATATGTTTTAGTAAGTCTTTTCTTATTAAATATTTTGCCCAAGCTGCATTTAGTCTTGTTTGTTATGCTGTTAATACAGCATGCTACATCATAGTACCTTGTGATATAAGAATATTGGATGAATAATTTGCGGTACACTTGTTTATGGTTTATCTTCTTCTCTCTGTTATTGTTAAGTACCTCAAGGTTTTGACAATGTGAGGTGCTATATAAATCCAGAATTATTATTTTATTATTATTTATTATATCACTTCATTACTACTACTACTACACTTAGGCAGTTAGTGTGGCGGAATACCTCCACAGCAAGCCACTGTTTCCATAACTCAACTGATGTATCAAAACCTAATTTTGATGAAAACAATAAAACCATGAAAGCTTATGTTAGTATAATATAAGCTAAGGACATTGTGACTTAACTGTTTGTGTAGCATTGCTCAGCAACAGAGAATATCACTGGTAGTTTTGACATCATTACCTTTTATTGGAAGTTAACTACTTTATTCATGATTATTAATTAAAACAATATTACTTTTTCCATTATCTTGTTTACAGTGTCTGTAGAGCAGATATTCCAGCTGCTTCATGTAGTATTTCAAACAATTAGTGCAGCAATGCGACACGAGCCTGCTAACGCCAAGTTCTTTGTCACAGAGGTAAGAGCTTCTACAGGTTGTTGGCTTTATTCAGTCTAAAGGTCTTTGCACACTATCAAAATTTCATGTGACAAATTTGTGTGATATGCCCGTTTTTAACACCCAAATATGTGCATGATGATGTCATATTACGTAACCCCACACCAAATATGGGTATGATGATGTCATATTATGTAACCCCACACCAAATATGGGCATGATGATGTCATATTACGTAACTCCACACCAAATATGGGCATGATGATGTCATATTATGTAACTCCACACCAAATATGGGCTTATCACATCCATTTGTCGCATAAACTTTGATAATGTAGACAGCCCTTCAATTGTGACTTCTTACAGATCATCGTCATGAATTTTGTTAAGCAATTTTTAAAATGCTTAATTTTTATTCTTTTAAAGATTCGTTTTGACAGTCTAAAGGATGCTATAAGGTTACTAGGCTGTTTTAGTAAAGGTCAAGAGGTCATGTCTTCTTTGCATCAATCAAACAGTACTTCATCACATGACGAAGTTTCTAACTTATCAACATTCTATAACTTATTTGACATTTCGGACAGGTAAGCTTTATACTCATCTAAATCGGGTAATCTGTAAATGTCGTGTCATTCAAGAAGATGTAAAAATTTAAATTATGCTAGTTGATGCGAGACGAAGCCTGATAAAGCCGACATAAACGGCCGTCAAAATGTGAGAAATAAATCTGGAGTTTAGTTTAAGCCTGCTGCCATGCTTCATTTCACATTCAGGCAAGATATTGTAAGCATAGATTAGCACACAGAATTCTTTCTTGGTTTACAAAACATTTTCTTGGCCTAAAAAAACATATTTTTGCTTACAGAACCATTCTTAGCTTATGAAATATTTATAGATAAGCAGTAATAATATTAATATTAATGTAAATACTTTTCCTAAGCCTGTAACCTTCTGCATATGTTTTATGAAGACTGGAGCTCTGAATCTTAATCATCATAAAGTTATATATTTATTATATGTTCTTTTTCTGCTTGTCAGCTCTAAAGGAAAAGTTGCTCGTAGTCTGCAGTCTGTATGTTTATTATTGAGATGTTTATACGATTTGGCAGTTGATGCCTATGAAAGGTAAAGTTACACCATATACATTTTGAGTAAATTTCCTGCACGGTTACAATTGAAACGGTACTGGGTTTGGTCTACAGGAGGTTGTGCTTCGTACAGGTCATTCCATTCATAGAAGATGCCTTTAATGGAGAAAGCGTACTTGTCATTAACCCTAGGTCGAAACATAACCCTGGCTATATAAAATTGGTTATAAGATTGAAAAATGTTATTCTTATTATTGTAGTGACACTAAAATGTGTTACAATAAATAAATATTAATCTATAAGGTTATGTTGTTGTATAGTTTCGTATTGCTAACTTCTGTGTCTAAACCTTAAAATATATGTATTCTAATTTTAAACAGGCTAATTGATGGATACAACATCATCTTAAGTATGAAAATAAATAGCATTTGATTGGCCCAATATATATTTCAATATGTATTACTCCTGACCTGGTATAGAAAATGCATGGACTGCTAATAATTTCATTTTTTTCCTTATTTTGTTATATAGTAAATCAGCTGAGATGCCAATCAATGCCCCTTCAATGAGCCATCATGTTCATGATGCATTTACCCCCCTCCCAACACCACCAACCTCACCATCCAGATCCCCGGATGAACATACACAATTAAAGATTCTTGAACAAGCAAAGAAGCGCAACTCATTATCACCAAGCCCCTCCCCAGCAAGAACACCAACAGCTGGTCTTTCTCATTCATCCACAAAGAACTCGATCTCCTCCGGACACAGTCAGCCCCCTCCCCATCCTACGATAGTTCATCCAGGAGCGGTCATTTCTCTTTTGGATCTTCTTCCTGCTATTGGTACTGGAGACAATGACCAGGTAAACTACCTTAGATAATATAAGATAATCACTTATACACTTTATACAATATATACAGGTTAGACAAAAGCCTTATCTAATGATTTAGAGTTGTATAAGTGGACAGAATTACAGGAAGACAACTACCTACTTCTGTTTAGAGTAGTCTACTGTACTAACAGCAAAATCTTGCTTAAGTGGCTAATTTCTTCTCACTCAAAAATATCCACTTCAACATTATTTATACCTGTATTACTAATAATTAACTTAGTAGTCTTTTTAGTGATGCGATTTATTTTTATTTTGTTGAACTCAATGAGGATATTATATCATGCTGCACATACATATGAATGACACTTAAAATTATACTAGAATAAACCAATGACAGAATTTCATTGTATACTGAAAGAATTCAGTTTCCTAAGCAAATACATTTGCTGGCTAGATTTCTTTAAAATATTTGCATTCCAATTCATGTTTTTGTCTATTATGATGCCAAAGTATTTATGTTCCTTGACCATATCAATTTCTTTGTCATTAACTTTAATATTATAAACATTTTAAGATTAAATAATATAGATTCATGTAAAAAATATAGTTTTATATAATGTATGCAAATTGTCGGCTATTCTATTATAAAAAAATAATAAAAGTTAATACTTTTTTTATCAGCTTACAAATAATATTCACCTGCAATCCTTTCTTTGAAATTATATATTGTATACTTCAACAGAAGGAATCAAATTTAAAAATTATTATATGATAATTTTAATAGATAATAATAATGTTCATTTCAAAATACAATATAATATTTGTCTAATTTTAGAATGTTCAAAGGCTAAAGTACTTCTCCATTGTTTTATATTTATTATTTAATATTAATATATTATTGGTAATTAAATGTAATTTTTTCATTTTGACTTGATTCTGTAGTTGGGATTAGCATTGCAAATCCACACCACGAATGTAATCCAAGAACTTGTAAAGAGTGAGCGCAACCAGCAGGTCATGTGTGAAGCAGGACTTCCGCAGCGACTTCTGTACATCTGTAATGTTGCACTAGCTGACGAAGACCACCCTCTACACATGAACCTACAACACACACTAGAACGCCTTGCATCACAGTCTCTGGAACCAAAAGACTTACGGTAAAATATGATGTAGTAGTGAATTACAACACAAACCAACTTCTTTATATACTATATTCAACAAGGGTGATGAATTCAGCGTCTTTGATGCTCTATCAACAAAGTCCCATTATGCGTTTGAGGGAATTGAGAGCTGATCCATTTGGGACCTATAATGCTCTATGTCCATATGCAAGAGAAGTAGTTATTCTGGACTCTTTAATTCTCCTTATGAGGCATAGGGAAAAGGGCTGAGGATTTGAGATTTTTGATCCTTTGTAAGACAGTCTAATTATGAGGCTTGGAAAGTGAGGACCTAATCATTTTGGATCGCTTGTCCTCTATAACCAAGTCTAAGAATCTTGGAGAGTGGAGAGCCGATCATTTGGGAACTTTGATGTTCTATGACCAAGTTGAAGAGGCCTGGAGAGTGGAAAGCTGATTATTAGGAACCCTTAAACAAATGCAGCTGTTTTTGAACATTAGGTATTTCTTTGTCAGGGTTTGAATATATTCATAGCAGTGCTATGAACATTGGTCTAAACTAAAAAGTTTGATATTTTAATATTTTATATATATTTGTGTATTTTCAGAGATTTCCTTCGACTTGGATCGCCACTGAACTGTAAGATTTGGGATGATAAGTACAAAACAACAACAGAAAACAGTAATAGTAGTTCACCGCTAGAAGTGTTAAATTCCCTAATTGATTCACCAGAGGGAGGGAGCTCACTGAATGAGTCAACTGCCTCCAAGTGTACCTGCAATATTTGTATGACAGAAGGATCTACCGTACCTCTCACACGTGTTAAGTGTCTCGTATCAATGACAACGCCAAGGGATGTCCGATTAAACAGCTCATCTGTTACACCGGCTTTTGTTGAGTTTGATATGAGTGCAAATGGTTACGGGTGTTTGTACTTGCCTAGTATTGCACCGCAATCCACACCTTCACAGGGGGTGGTAAGTTCTGTTGGAATGACAGGAGGATCAGATACATCAATCATCAGTGGAGTTGGCTCAGGTAAGGAGTTATTCAAAGATAAATAAAGCCAGGTTTTCATAAAATTGCTACACTACAGTGTTTTCAATGCTATCATTACACTGCTTAGCTGTCTCGATGCAATTGGAAAGCTTCTTCGATTTGATCTAACAATCAGCATAGAGGAAAGCTGTGTGGCAATAGCAGGCTTAAGAAGAAATTCTTTGTTTAGAAATTGAAAATTAAATATTAATTTCACATTATGCTTGAACGGTTGCTCCAGGTTGCATGATTAGTTTTGACATATTCGCAAAGTCACCTTATGCTAATTTTATGCTAATTATGTATTATTATCTCAAATGAAATATCAGCTTACATTACTTATTTTTTTATTTCAACAGGTGAGAGACCATTCCCTCCTCAGTCTGGTCTCACATATTCAGTATGGTTCTGTGTTGATCGCTATGGCACGGCAGACTTTGATAACCATCAAACACGTCTCCTGACGGTCGTGCGTAATATTGTCGGCACAGACCACAATTACGTGTGCTTATCTGTCAATATAACTGCTCACGATCGCTTCCTTGTCATCAGTAGTCTAGAACGGCCAGTCTCAAAAGCAGTGGGGGACGAAGCAGCTAGTAATGACTACACAGTTAAGGTATGGTGTCCTGAACTTGCCCAGGAGGGCCAGTGGCACCATCTTGTAGTGGTCTTAAACCGAGCTGTCATGAAAAGTAGTTCTATTTCTATATATGTTGATGGTGTCTCTCGACACACTCAGAGGGTAAGTCTTTGCACCTCCACACCATATTCACATTGTTATTTTTAATATTAATTGTAATATCAATAGTAATAACTATTGATATTACTCAGGTAAAGGGTTGAAATCACCATCCTTCTAAACCAACAACATCTTAGTATTGCTATCAAAGAGAACAGAAGTTTGCTAGGCATAAGCTTTAAATAAGATATTTCTTTTTGCATTGTTTGTTACCCTCGCCTCTCCAAAGGGGAGGTGAATGGTATTGCAATAGCATGCATTGTGTGTCTGTCTCTCCAAAACTACTGAATCAAATTATTTCAAATTTTCGCACATTGACTATGTTACATGTATCTCGGTTGGTATTTATTTTGTAGAATCTTATATCTTATCATTACATTTTATTTTTTTATCAGATGCATTATATCCAGCTACTCCCAGGTGGCAATGTCAACAATCCAGGTGGCCTAGTCTCAATATACGCTTACATAGGTACTCCAACAACTTATCAAAGTTCATCTCGCCTACTATGGAGGCTAGGCCCAGCTCACCTGTTTGAAGATGGCATGAATGGTGCCACCATTGCAGCTATTTATAACCTAGGCCCTACATATGTTGGCAGCTTCCAGGCACCAAAGTCAGAAGGTATTTTTAGTAGAGTATATTTCAAGAAATGTACTTTGTGACTGTTGTATATTCATTCATATATGTGGCAAACACAGGCTTTTTAATTATTAATACAGGGTTAAAGAGTAAGATGAGAGCTATAAAATGGTAAAAGAATCATTTAAATCCGACATTTCGTTATGAAGTTACAGGAGTTTAAACATACAGCTGTTTAAAGAACAATATTTGAGAAATCAGCCTTCAAAGTTTATGATTTCGGGCATTTCTCAGGCAGAAACCATCACCAAATCGTTAAAAATTGTTGTTTTAACATTGAAACTGGGGAAAACAACAACACAGCATGATGTATAGATATATAAAGGTTAGTTTAGTGCAGTAAAATAGATTTTAAAAATGTTGACATTCCAGCATGTTTTGGCCATTATCTCTGAAACACGATTTGCGACGAGTGACTGATTTGGCTTGTCTTTGCCACATATTATGTGTATATATTTACATATTTTCTTAATAATTATTTGGAATGGTATTTACAATAATATTGATACTTTTTTATTAATTTTTCTTGATGATACATTCTGAGTTTATTTTCATGAGGTTTTTTTTCTTTGTCTTAGCAATTTTATCCAAGAATGATCTCTACAACTTACAAATTGCTGAAGACCGGATCATTTTTGGAATCCACGCTCATGCACTGAGCACGCTCACAATCTCAAAAATAAGGAAGATTTTTAACAAAGTTGATAGTAAAGCCTGTGCAAAACAACTGGTATTGTCATCACATGACAATGCTACACCAATCAGAATCTTGCACAACTCAGCTGGACATCTGACTGGAACGGGGCGGTCATTAGGGGCAGTTCTATTTGGAAATATGGGTAAGTAAAAATGTTATAGATCTTAAAAAATCATATAAAAATCTATCTCAATGTTTTAACTCTTTCCAGTCGTATGGCGTCGTGACGACGCCCTCTTTGACCATACTTTATAGCGTGGGGCGTCGTACGTACGCCCTGTATAATTTTCATGATATTTTTTTTATAGCTAGGCTGCCCTCTATAGGGCAGCCTGTTTGAGAGTGATGTGGGAGTATTTCTGTTGAGGGCCTCCTGTATTCAGGCCAAATAAAATGCCTGTGCCCAGTAAAAACCCAACTTTTAGTGTATTTGATGTAATTTCTCAGTTTTGGTACAGCCTGAGGCAATGGTAATGGGGCAGACTGGAAAGGGTTAAATTTCTGCTTGTTATAGTACTGTATATGTAGTACAACTATACTTACATTATTTACTCCTGGATCAGGTATCCGAACATTCTGTCCAAAACCTGTGGCCAGTACACTTGAGAATGTTGGTGGGTCGGCATGCTTATTAGGACTGGTTGCCATGGCTACAGATGTTGAAGGTCTGTATGCAGCAGTGAAAGCTTTAGTGTGTGTTGTCAAGAACAACGGACCAGCCATGCAAGAGATGGAGAGGACGCACGGTTACCAAGTAAGTTATTTTAAATAGAAAAAAAAAATCAATGTAGACTTTCAAATGAAAAAGTCAGCAAAGTGGATAAACCAAAAAATACAGGAATAAATTCAAAAGAATGAAAAAAAGGAGTTTAAATATAACTGAAAAAGGCAGCATTTAAGTATTTTCATATAAAAAATCTTAGTGAAAATTCGATTGTTTTGATCTTAGATTATAATTATAAAGGTGAACAATTCAATAAATTTCATTAAATTTTTGAGGTTTTCTGGATTTAACAGTACAAACAGTATTTCCTTAATACAATCCTTTAAATCTAGGAATCCATTTGTCCGCTCTGTTTGCAGTGCAATGTATTTTAATCAATATAACTGTTTTAAATGAGAGTGATTCCATTAGTGTGGTTGCGTTGTGTCTCCGTAACCACATGCGCTTATTTTAATCGCTCCATGGAGTGATTCTTCTGTTTTGATTTAAGCCTGTTGTTGCGTGTGGTGAATCCATGCAAAAAGGCCATTAAAAATGCACATGCATGGAATCACTTAAAAAGTACTGTAAACGCAACCGGATCCTGAACCACAACCGGACAAGTGGATTCTTACCTTAAGTCTCATTCGTTTTACATATTTAAATCCGCTTATTGTTCGTACTTTATCTTTCAGATTCTTGCCATGTTACTTAAGAAAAAGAAGCATCTACTTAACAGCCACATCTTGCATCTCACGTTCTCGCTTGTCGGTACTATTGATAGCGGCCGCGAAACACTGATGATTCCACACGAAAAAGCATTTGAAGATTTACTTGCAGATTTGGAGGTAAATTATATAAATATCAATCAAATTCATTAATAAATCATTCAACCAAAGGAGTAATTAATTAATTATTCAATTAACCATTAAACCAATCTAGCGACTAACCAAGTAATTAATTGAACAACACCCAAACAATCTAATAAACCAATTAATCAGCATATTAAAATTTTCAGATACAAGACAAATAATATAGAGGATATAATATCAAGTTATGTAATGAAATCAAGATAATAATGTATAAAAATTTGACAAAATTCATTATTAGTAATTATGTGGAATAACTAAAGTGGTATATGTATATTTTTCAGTTGTGGCATAATGCCCCAAATGATCTTCAAAGATCTCTCTTTGAACATCTGCATGAACTCCTCACCGATTCAAGTGACTTGAAGAAAAATGGCCGTCTGTTTCGTTCACTGAGAATGGTGAACCGTCTCATCAACATGCTTCATAACCACTATTTATCACATTCCAATATTGTTGCTATTAGCAACCTACTCCAGGTTCTCTTGCAAGGTGTCCCAAGTAGTACAGATCTTTTGAGGTTAGAGGTTAATGTTATTTTGGGTTCATTGGAATTCTGAAAACGTGATCAGAACTGTTTCCAAAGCTATATTTGTATACCTAGTGTTATAGACGCATTGAGTCGATGGGTCTCAAAGGCAAGCTCTGAAGGCAAACAAATTGTGGTATGTGGTACAGTGCAACTGATTTTTCAAAGACACAAAAATGGTGTTTGACAAAATACTCGGGAACGGTTAATGAGATACAGATTTTTGAATATTTAAAAACTGGGGGAAAGGCACGCAACATTCTTCCACCTTTTTCCCGCAATTCTTAAATATTAAAAAATCTGTATCTCATTAACCGTTCCCAAGTTTTTTTTCCAGACACTCTTTTTGTGTCATGGAAAAATCAGTTGTACAACATATCAAAAACAATTTTTCCTCCGGAACCTGGCTTTAAGTTGGGAGAAGCTAGAGGTTGATTAATATGCAGTTGATTTTCGCTGGGTCGTAGGTGGACTACAGACCGTGTCAATTCCCAAGAGACTTTGCCAGCTTGCAAAAAACTGAACCTCTTTAAATCTGATGTGTAGACTTCTACAGCTTCTGATGTAATTCTATACCTCGCTTATTTGAAGAATGACAATCTATCCAAAAAAAATTGAAATAGAAAAAATATGTGCATCTTGATTAAGTGCAAAAATTATTGAAGTGATATGAAATACACTATTACAGTGGAAGTTAACAATCTTGATTTTCCCATATTTGTAGGTTTGCCCAGTTCCTTGTGTCTACTCTGCCATCGTCATCAGCAGATGAAAGGTGTGTCACTAAAAGTGATCTGGAATTCCTAGTAGGAGATGCCCACAGCCCTGTCAAAGGTTAATATTCCTTAAATTTTACTAAACATTGAGAATATTTGATGATTGCGATTGTTAAGTCTCCGAATAGATGTATACAAATTTGTAATTCTTGAAGATAATACCTGCGATGAGTAAATAAGTTTTTCATTTCCATTTAGACAGCGATAGTGTCTCAGATGACGGATCCAGTGCGGTGTCTGCTCATGACATCCATTTGAGGAATGTGCTTTTAGAGATGCTCTTCAATCTTCTCCACACTCCAGGAACAAATAATATCAACCATAGGTATGTTACATATTACGCTGAAAATACTAATAAATTTTCCATCAGGACTCGCATTCAAAACCCTCCAACTATTCTTGAGATGCTCTACTACTTGAACTTTGAACCCAATTATACTATCAGATTTTTTTCTGTTAAAGATGTGTTTTTCTGTAATTGATGATATTGTATTTTAAAAGGGAGTATACACCTAGCTCAGTCTACAGGGAATCCACACACTATGTCAAAAGAAATATTAATTCTCATTTCTGCCACATCAGAAGATCTACTTCTCTTGCACTTCAGAATTAGTGATATGTGAACAAAATTGTAAGGAATGTCTTGTAGCAGTAAAAAATAACAAATGTTTTTTCCTCATTTATAGCACCTGTGATGAAATACACAAAATCTTGGGTTTAGACTGGGTGTTGTTGTTCATGCAAGGACACTGTCATCCAACGACAGTCATCCTAGGCCTCCGCATTCTGCTTGCACTTCTCTACAACCAGTCTATGATCTCGTGCTTCAGAGAAGGAAGAGAACGATCTTATGGAGGCGGCTGGCTAGACCAGACTGATCAAGTTTTACAGAACAGGGTTGGAGTTGTGTTAGGTAATATCATTTTTTTAACAGTAATAATTATTGGATAAAATGGATGAATGTATTAGTGTAGGTGCATGCTTGAAAAGATTTAAATTTATATTAACTTTCAATTAAAAAGTTTAATAAAAATATATATATTTTCTATTAACTAATTAACAGATGCATTTATAATGCAGTCCCTACATTCTTTACATTGGCCCTTAATTTGGAAGATAATTAATTTAAGGATTTTTGAAGTGAAAAGTATGCAAATTATCGAAAATTAAATTTTCTTTATCAGGTTTTAATGTTGGCAAGAGCAGAAAGGTACAGGCCAGAGAAATCAACAAAGATGCCTGCCATCAACCAGGATTCCAGGTTCTTCAGTGGTGGCTGCAAAGACATGCTGATGTACCGCAGGTTTATTTCCTTCTTATGGCACTGATGCTTGGACAACCTGTGCAAGAATTAGGAGAACCTGGAAGCCAGGTAGGCCTCCCGTAGAGTGTTATCCAAAAGTGCTAACCATTAATTTGTTAGCACTTAATGCCTGTAATATGTTTAATATATGAAATATTTTGTTTTGTTTGAAAACAACTTAGTTCCTCAGTTGCATGAACCGGTAGTAGCCACTGTGTGTGCTGTAACATGGAGGTATTTGATTCCTTGTTTAATTATGCCACTGCTCTCCTTACATTGCAGATGAAGGACTGAAATATAAGTTCATATATCTCAATGGCTTCTGTGTAATGCTCCATATTGTAAAAAAAAAAAAGAAGGAAGAGAATTATCTCATGGTACTTGTATTGAAGAAAAAAAAAACAAGCACCATTAAAAGAAAATATAAAATTAAAGTGATATTTTGTTGTATTTTGTAGTTGGATCTGGATACAATGTGGAAGTTTGTTTTTGGTGTTCCTGCAAATCAGCCAATTGGTAACAAGCTAACAGGATCAATCTGCCCAGACGCCGGCCTTGTCATCCTGTCACAGATTAGGGTGATGCTGAACGGGGTGAGTATAGCATTTTTCAAGAGTGATGAATTTTCAAAACTTAATTGCTAAGTATATGTTCTTTGGGTTCGGTTCAGTTCATTCAGGTATATCTCACTCCTCGACTACCAACATTACATTTGATTTGTGCATTTTCCAGGCATGGCAAGATGAAGATGAGAGGTCTTGGTTAATGGAATACCCTGTAATATTGGTCCAGTTCCTGCTCTTCCTCTACCACAACCTCACAGACTTCAAGCCAGTGTGTACCAGTGCTGACTTCCTCTGTGGCCTAGCTTCTTGCCTCTTTCCTTACCAACCACATACAGAGCAGGTAATAGCCATGCTTCTTGTCAATTCTTTTTATTCTTTGCTTGCTCGTTATTTAGCTTTGTTTATTCTGTACTTTGGTGGATTTGGTAGCATTTTTGAATTGTTATTGATTGATATGGTTTAGGCTCTAATAATGCACTTGTGTTCTTAGACAAGCCACTCTATCTTCATTTGGCTCTCTTCATCCAGAGGTATAAATGGATACCTGCTAGGACGACGTAACATTGAATGTTTGTGTCTGTGCACAGTACATGCCTGCATGATTAAAAATACTTTTTTCCAGAGAGCAGAAGAAAAAGCATGTCATGCATGCTTGACAAAATAAAGCTAGTGAGCAGGGGAAGTAACCAATGGTGTAACAAAGAGGCCTTATGCCATTTGCTAAGATTTCAAGCCCTATTTGGGAGCTGGGTGCCATGCAGGCGAAGCCCCATCTGACGTTTTGAAGCAATATAACTGGAAGTAATATTGTTACATTTAGATTGTGACAAATATGATATTATATAAAATTTCATGTAAGTTAAGCTATAAAAAAAGTAAATAAAAATTTTTAAGAAGTATGATATTGTCACCCTCTTGTATAACCAACTTGTCCTCCCTCAACTGGTTTGCAGCTGCTGTTGTCATTGTAGTTAATGTTATTATTATTATTATTAAAACTATTGGTTCACCCTTCTTAGTGTTGTAATGATATTTCAATCATTACAAGTAAAGACAGAAGTGAATTGAATGCTAAATCATAGGAATGACTAGGAAAATCTAGATACTGCTTCCAGATTATGAAAGGCGTATTATTGTTATTGTTACTGTTTGCCACTGCTGTCATTGTCGATAATGTTATTGTTTTAATAACAAAAACTATTGATTCTTAATGTTGTTAATGATAATGAATTTAATGTTAAATCATTAATATGAGTTGATGCTCTCAGACATTTAAATGTTGCAATACTTGAAACACCTTGAATATTCATAATTTTTTATCATCAGTTTTTTATGCAAACATCACTTAATACTACACCGTTGTTCATTTTGTTATCCATAGCTTCCATTTTTCTGTTGGTTGGCACAAGTACCATAAAACTTTCAATAGCGCATTCAATAACATTCAATTTTTGTATTATCATTATATCGCCCATTTGATAATAGTTAGGTTTCAATATTAAATGTGACATGTTTCGATCTTGTGTTAGACCCCACCTATGAGCAACCTTGAAGATATACCAGAAGAAGTAAGGAACATTTGCTTAAATAATTGCTGCTTAAAATATTAACCCACCATGCTTACGTTTGCTAAGCGGGAAAAAAGTGCAGTGTTACTATCAACTGCATTTTCTTAGTTTCAACTTTAATATAGCTCCAATACTGTAGCTCATCAAAGTAGTCTT